CCCTTGCTCTGAAAGGATTGAACAGAAGTGTTACAGGTAAAAATAGTTACACAGTATGTTAATATGTGCCATAAAAAAAAAAAAAAGTGTTTCCTATATAAATAAGTTGAAGAAATCCTGCTTACAGATAAACATCTAGGCCTCGTTGCATTTCAGCTCCAGGCCCAGAGAGCAGCAAAACCAGGTGGGTGTTACCAGTTCCAGCTGCAATGACTAAGGACCCCCTACCCTGACTCTGACCAATCACTAGAGACCACAACCCTAAAGGGTGCACCTGGGAAATTGATGAATATTCTGCCGAAACCCTTCCCTGAGACCTCCCTAAGACTCCCACCTGTAAGAGAGAGATAAAGCCCTCAAAACAAAGGACCCAGCAAGCCCTCCCTTCTAGGAGCTCATCTGAGCCATTCCCTTCTCCCTATTCTTCCCCCACTGGCTTGCATCTCCTAAACTCTAAGGGTCCTCACAAAACCTGCAACCAGGGGAGCAATGGGCAGTGGCAGCTCATCTCAAGTAACCCCTGAACCTGTCTCCAAGGCCTCTTTTTCTCTAACTTCCCAGAGAGCCAAAGAAGCCCCTAGTTTTAATAAAAGTACCTTCATAATCACCTGCACTCCTGTTGTGAAATCTTTCCTGCATGAAGTCAAGAGCCCACACACTGCAGGCTGGCCCAAGGCAGACCCACTCAGGACCAGATCCTCTTTCCTGTAATAACAGCAACTCCCTCCCCTTCCCCACCCTCTATTCCCACACCTCCTCCACGCCCCCACCTCCCCACCCCTGCCAGGACATCTGTTAATTTGTTATGGAAATGACTGTGAAAAGGCAGAAGACATAATCTCCTGTTTGATGTGAAAGAAGGAGCACCAGAGTCTCCTTTTAGCAAAATAGGACTGATGTGTCCACACCCTTGCTACACTCAGTGCCAACACAGAGCACCCCATAAGCTCTGTGCTAGCAGTATCTCCCTTTTATTTATTTTTATTTTTTTAAAATATATTTTATTGATTTTACACAGAGAAGAATTGAGAGGGACAGAGAGTTAGAAACGTCGATGAGAGAGAAACATCAACCAGCTGCCTCTTGCACACCCCCCACTGGGGATGTGCCCGCAACCAAGGTACATGCCCTTGACCAGAATCGAACCTGGGACCTTTCAGTCCACAGGCCAATGTTCTATCCATTGAGCCAAACCGGTCCCGGCCAGTATCTCCCTTTTAACATTACCCCATCTCCCCCTGGACTGCCACCCTGCTGGAAATGAGAGCAGTGCAAAAGGACTCTTCAAAGAGCTTGGGCATTTGAACTAGATTCAGTCCTTTCTGCAATCATTATCCCCTCTTACCTCTGCAGAGCGGTTTCCAATATACCAACAGCATTTATGTTCATTATCTTGTTTGAGTCTCACCCAACCCTGACAGGTATGTACAAGTTGAGTGTGCTGGCTAACTGAACATAGCTAATTAAGGACTAAAATATTCAGGAGTTTGCCTTATTATTGGCTATATCTAAGTGGCTAGGGTTTCCAGATTTAGCAAATAAAAGCATAGGACTCCCAGTAACATTAGAATTTTAGGTAAAGAATGGAAAATCCTTATAGTATAAGTATATCCAATGCAATATTTGAGACATACTTATACTAAAACATTATTCATTGTTTATCTGTAATTTTTATCTGCATCTTATCTGGCAACCTTGAAATTGAGGAAAGAACTCAGAACACGGGATTAAGTGAGAGAAAAGCAGGGGAAGCTGAGGGACCAGGCATTGTGAGAGTACACACCATCTCTGAGCTTCCCGACTGGTGTGTACCGTGGTTTAAGGTGGCAAGATGCTGATTTCTCAGCCATCTGCACAGCAAGCCTGGGGTGGCAGGAAGACAATGTCAGGCACAGCAGTCTCTTCCAGGACTCCTTGAATGGTGGCTCGAGTGTGATGAGGTCTAAAAGTAGAGCTGTGGTTCTCTCAGGTGGTAACCAGAATGGTTCCATCTGGACCTCTCCATCAATGGCCAACTATAAAGCACTTGGCTGCCTGTCTGTAGTTCCACAGAGGAGAAAAAAACCCATGGAGGGCAGGGGAAGGGGTATGAGGGTTAAATTCATCGATTTTGCACAGTAGTAAGGTGTAGAAGTAGTTGAGGTAGTGGTTTGAGAGGTATTTTTTAAACTGATAGTATTTTCTGTGCTGGATGAGTTGTGTAGCAGCATGATTTCCCCAAGAAACTGGTTGGTGAAGTCTCAAGAGCGATCTTATTGAATCACTTGGGAGGTAAAAGCTGGTCCTGAGGCTGCCACAGCATCACTTGTCTGGTTTTGCTGCTCTTCTGGGCCTGGAACTGAAAGACAACTGAAACCTGTTATTTTCAGGGCGGGGGGAAGAGTAGGGATCTCAGTTGCCTCACCGGTGATATGAAAGGGGAGAACAGGTTACCCTGGGGGTGAGGTTCTTGTTTTTCTCAGTTTTGCCCCTTGCTGGGCATCCACATATTTCTTGTAGGTCCTGAGACAGGGTTTCAAAGTAGGTAGAGCTGTGGTTAAGCTCCCTATGGCAGTTCCAACTCCTGCTTAATGCTGAGGGTTAGGAGGAGAGGGATTATCTGGACTCCTCTTTTGTGTCAGATATAATGGGTTATGGGGACAGGTAGAGACTGATTATGGAGCTGCATCTACATTGGGTGAGAAATAGATGAGGGTACAGATTCCCGTCCAGCTGATGGGGACACAGATGTATGTGTTTTACCCACAGAGAAAGAAAAATCCCTATCATGGAGACAAGCTAATAGGTGTAAGGAGAAGAGGTGGGCTAAAGGGTATGAGATTCCCTTTCCCAATTCCATACTCCAAGCTAAGAGGGTGGTCACCATGGCGCTACCAATAAGGGGCGACAGATAGGTGGTTGAGATTGTATTGCAGTGAAAGTGGGAGGGAAAGGGAAGGAAAGGAGTAGTGGACGCCGGGGACCTGGATGGTTGGATAAGGTGTTAGACACTGTGGATATCCTGGTTTTGCTTAAGAAGTATCCAGAAACTTGTCCTGCCAGGCTTGGCGACTGAAACCTCACTTTCTTGCTCAGAGTAAAATGGCCCTTTTACAATTCTTGTCAACCGTTAACTTTAGAACTTCTTTCTTTCTTCCAACATTTATCTTTTTCTTCTCATCACATACACAACCTTCACAAATTTCACACTTTCAAATTAGCCTTCAATCCTTCCTTCTATGTCCTTCAAAAATGCATAACCATGCCTCAGACCTTCCATTAAGTATTTCTAAACATGTTTAAAGCAATCAGTGTTTCAGTATTGTATGCTATTTTAAAATATTTAGAAAAGGCAGAGGGTGGAGGGAACAGGCCCTGCAGCCTGTTCCCAGGCCTCTAGCCACTAGAATTTTAAACCACAGCATTTTTCCTAGAGATAATGATGATAGAGGAGATAAGGACGTAAGGTATTTACAATCCAAGGAATGGCTCAGCCTTGTGGGGTGAGGGAGTGAATCTGAGGTAGGTGACTGTGGTTTGGGGCAACTGGGCATCCCTTTATGAGGGATGCACGGTAGCCCTGGCTGAGCACAGAGGTACAATGAGAAAAGAGTGAATGAGGCAATTTAGTAAGATACAGTGTAGACATGAGGTGGTTGATGGCTGTGAGACTAATCAGTCAACCTGCATAACAGAGACTGAGGAGAGGACAAGGGTCCCAGTGAATTCAGAGAAGACAGAATGAGTGGCCCCAATGTCAATTAAAAAGGAGATCTGCTTACCTGCCACCACAGTCATTACCCAAGGCTCTGTCCTGGTGATGTAAGTCTGTGGGGCCCTGTCAGGGCCTGGGCAGCTTCTTTGGTGTCCAGTCCAAGGATGTCTGGGAGCTCCAACTTGGATCCAGAGGGTGGCCATGCTGGACTGGCTGAGGCCTTACCGGAGGGCCAGACGACAGTCTGATTTCCAGTGGCCTTCCCTTCCACACTTGGGCAGGGCCCAGCAGGGGTCTCAGGTTTGAGCAGGACTTGGCTCAGTGTCCTTCCTTGCTGCATTTGAACCATGGGCCCAGAGGAGGCTTAGCCCTGACTTACCTACCATTGGAGGACCAGCACTTCATTTAGGGTTCATGAGAGCGGTGGCTAGGAGCTGGAAGGCCTCCCACTGGGCCTCAGCCTTGGCGTGATCTCACTTTTGATTTTGGATTTGTGTCTCCTTGTCTCTATTATTAAAGATCTTAAAAGTCAGGTTAGCAAGGTCTTTTTGTGGGGTTTGTGGACCTGTATCTATTTTTTTAAGTTCGCGACATATGGAGGGGAGTAAAAGTGTTCAGGTCAGTGGAAAAAGAAACTTGAGATGCTCTACCTGGCCACAATATAAACTTGACAATGGCTCTCTGTGGCCTGAAATGGCACTTTCGATTTCAATAACCTTATGTTATTAAATAAAGAACACTTTTCTATGCATTTGAATGTATTTCAAGGAGAGAAAAAAATGTCAGTACTTGGAAAATTCCAGAAACTTCTTCCCCCCAAATGACAAGTTCACAATTTAGTTTATTTATATAAAAAGGATAATTTATTTCACATGAAAATATACAGAGGAAGTCAACTATAAGGCCAAAGACACAGCCAGGTTCTTTCCTCAGAATGCGTGCATTCCGGGAACCTTTTCTGCCCACTTCCCACAGCAGTGAGGGTGTCTGTCAGCTCCCCTGCTGGGAAGAGGCCTTACTGAGACTCATCTACAGAGCCCATGATTATCCGTCAGCCATCTCGGAGGCGGGACTGGGGACAAGGTGAAGAAGACTCAATAATATGATGCAGGTGGTGGCAATACCCATTACCAAAAAGTACAACTTTACCAAAAGCTGTCATTATGAATAGAAACTTCACTGTCAGAAAGTGATAACTACATCAGAGTACACGGGTTACAGGGAGAGTTGATTATGAGGGAAACACTTGATTGAGTCATAATCAGAAATGAAGAAACAATATCATGACATGTTAATGGGAACAGCATTCAAATTGCACAAATTAATTTGTATTTAAATCATTTTTCCAAAGCATATTGTATGCAGAAGATCAACTGTACTATATACAAGATATGCCTCTTTTTCTGTGGTATCTCCTGTCCATCACAGAAGAGTATTACCAATAGCCAATATAATTGTCATAATGCTATGACAATTATCTCTGGAGCTTCAGAAATCATTGTTTCACTTGGTAACATTTATGGGGAGTCAAGGCAAATACACACACACAAAATTGTCTCCCCACAAGAAAATATATAAGCCAAAGAACCCCAAATAATGACTCTTCCATTCACATACTTAAGAGTTTTCACTCAAAAGGCCTAAATGTGAAATAACCCGATTTCCTGGTTTATCTAAACAGTCCTAGTTTATTCTTGTTTTCTTACATAATTTTAATAGTATAGCCACTCTCCCTCCTGTAAAAGTGTTCCAATTTGGACAATAAATTATATGGTGACCTTACCTAAACTAGCTATTACTTTTGTTATGGAACGTTGGCTTTGAAGCCAGCTAAATTAGGGTTGTAATTTTCCCATAAAGATACTGTGGTCCGATTAGTTAAATCACCCTGCCTTTTCCCATACAGAAGAGTCACGAATCTGGCAATGTAAACAACATGAGGAGGGCTTTCAACAATGAAAGCATCAGCTCTGTACCTCTCTCTCTATTTTTTGAATTTGCTGTTAATACAGCCTGCCATGATCATTTTGGAATAATGAGGAGACTCGGGCCAGCCATGAGAAATTTTAAATGCCACCAATAGTGATGGGAAAAAAAGTATCACACTTTTATGTTAATTTTTGGCTTCCCAAACAGAAAGCAGAGGTAGAGATTTGAGTTAGGAGCTATTTATTTTTAAGTTAATAGTACAAGAGAAGGCCCTATTTCCATCAAATTTCCCCTTCCCCCTACCAAGCTTAGAATTATTAGAAATGGCATATCCACAGAATGAAAAAGGTGGACATCAAGCATTCAACTAAAGTCCAGGATCCCCTGTTACACTTCCCTCCATGGCTCTCCCAAATGACTAGTTCTTATGCTAACTCTGTGAGAAAGTCAGTGTAGGGGCTACTGGGAGTGGGGTGAGCTAAGTCAGTGATCATCCAGGATAGCAATTTGCAAAGCAACAGACCTACTTACCCACACTCCAATAGCAGCCCCCTAATCCTGCGGGATGCCGTGGATTCCAGAGACCTGGTCTCCCACCCCACACTGTCCCAGCACAATCTGGGCATGTTTGCCCATGTTCTTGCCCCACATTTCAATCTGAAGTAGCAGTTCTCTCAGTGTACCTCAGCGTACAGTCCGTAGATGGCCTTATACCGTAAGTATTCTTCTAAGCACTGAAGAACATTATCATCCACCTTTGGGTCGAACTTGTTGGCCAACAGGTGATGGTTCTGAAGAATCCAGTGAAGATCCCCAATGCCATAAATACAGATGGACCGCTGATGGATTCCAGAGCAAGGTCCATAAAGTGCCCCCATGCTGATGTCTCCTTCATGGCTCTGCCATTTTATCAGCCTGGCGATGGCAGTCAGGTCTGACATGTGAAACTTGGGGTGGTAGGGAACAGAGCCAGGCATCCATGGCGTACGCTGAAGCGTGGCCCAGAGGTGTTCATCGGGGCTGTAGGTATCTTTGGCCCACTCCATCAGTTGCCGGGCTTTGGGGTTCTCAAAGACCTGCTGGACAAAGCCTCGAGAAGCCACAATGTAGGCATTCCCTGTGAACATAGGTACATTATCAGGGGGAGGGTTCTTCCTCTTCTTAGTTCTGTATATGGTGTCTGCTACCTCATAGTGATATTGCCAGCGAGATCTTTTGTACACAGTAGGTATCTCAGACTCCATACTGTTCTTTCCATTCAACATCTTGAGGGCCAGGACCATCTCGGCATTGGTCTTTATAGGAAAGTCTGTTCCGCAAGTGTTCAGGAAGTATTTCCAGGGCACTGAGCTCCGGAGCAAGTCTTCCATACAGTTCAGATCTGCCTGCACCCTGGACCAGGAGGCATAAACCACCCGAACCAACTTACTGGCCAGGAAGACATTTGGGAAGCATGAAATAATTGCCCTGACTGCCTCCTTGAAAGTGTCTGGGGACTTCTCATCCACGTGGACACAATATATGTTCTGAGGGGCATACACAGTTCTCAGCAGCCTTTCAAAGTTTTCAATCTTCTCGTGGACCACCATAGAGTATGCAATAGGGAAGTCTAACTCCTCTTTGCTGAGAGGGTACTGTATGAACTTCCTTTTGGCCTTAAAGTACTCACAGTCTCTGGTCATGCTGATGTAGTCAGTGTCTGTGAAAGGCTTCCGCTTCTTCTTGACCTCCAGCCTGTCCAGGAGAGCCTCAATCACTGCTTCCTTATCCCCTTGGATGATTCTGGAACAGTTGATGGATCTACTTGCTGTCAACTGCAGGGACTTGTACAAGATGTCCCTACAGTGCTTGCTTCGAAAGTCCCTGGACTCCAGATCCAGGGAATCAAAGTCGCATTTCAATCTGAGATAGAATCTCAGAGAAACAATAGCCAGCAGCAAATAGCAGCCCAGGGCCCACAGGTAACGCTGCCTGCAGAGTTTCTTCTTCCACCAAATCATCTTCATGGCCCAGGAAAGGAAGAGAAAGTTGGAATCCTTGCACAGAACAAAATACCTTCAATTACAAACTAAACCTGAATGTGTTCCCAGGAACAGCAATTCTAACTCCAAAGTGATGGCAAAATACATTTCTTCTTTAGACACATATATCCTCATTCAAGACCTACCTAGGAACTTCTTACACTTGGGTTACTAATGGAGGTCTATAACCTGACACTACAAACTAGCTGCTCATGTTACAGTTAGGACCTAGCTCCACCTCTACCCACTAAAATTCATGCTCCAAATGGCCACATAGCAGGGTTAAAAGCTCAGGTGTGATTTATTGAGGTGCAATTGATGATTAGCCCCTCCCCTGCTGGCCTGATCACCCACAACAATGCATATTAAACTCTCTAGGTCAAGGACTAAAAAATAATGTAAAGAAGCATTATTAATGATTATAATTAACACAAAAAATAATACTTAAAATACTTAATTCACATACAATAAAAGAGGCATAAAAGGAAGAACAAGAAACCAAAGGTTAGATGGAACAATAGAAATCAAATATCACTACAGTAGATGAAAATCCACATGTCAATTGCTGAGAACCAAGATCAACAGTAATTAATATAAATGTGAGAAGTCCAGTCAGGAGACTGAATTGGGCTCTTTGATATTCACAGGGTGAATATTTGCATTTTATTACCTAATGCTGACTCAATGGCCTAAAGCAAACTCCATCAACCTGATAACCTTACTGTTTACTAAACATTACCATTGATATGTATGTTTGTATTCCTAAAAGGCAATTATGTGTTCTAGTAAATATCAATAGAAGCAGATGGAAACAGAAACTCAGTGGAAACTTAACTACTATAGCTAAGCTTTCCATGGCTTCCCCCATAATTTCCAAATTTGTATTTCTTGTCTTGTGTATTAATTTGCACTTCAGCCCTTTCTCCAAGCCTTTGAACTCAAGGCCATGCTGGCAGTGACTGCACAATCAATAATTGTATAGGATTAGAAAAGCCAAATTGAAAGACAAAGATTGCCAGTCTGACCAAAAAAAATACCAAAGTATATGGTTTTTGACAAAGAACATATCTTAACACCAAGACATAAAAGTTGAAAATAAAAGACTGAAAATGGAAAGGATATAATGTACAAATTCTAAACATTAAAAACCTATTATTACTAAATTTATAACAAAGGACCTGGGCATTGCCAATACAGAGAGACATTTCATAGTGATAAAAGAGTGATCAAGGCAATATAACAATTTTTTTAAGTGACAGAAATAAAGAAAAGCACAGATAGATCCACAATTTTTGTTGAATTTAACACCCATTTCTCATCAGTTGATAGGGCAAGTAGATTAAAAAATCAGCAAAGACTCAGACAATACAGCTCAATTTAACTGACAGTTATAGTACACTATACCCAGCAACAGAAAAGAATTGTGGTCTCTTCTCAAGTGATCATGAAAAATTCATCAACAAAGATTATTTTATGGGCCATAAAACAAGTCTAAGTAAATTCAAAAGTCAAAATCATACAGAGTATATTGTTTTATTTTTATTTTTTCCAGGTTCTTTTCCTTTAAAAAAAATACTTTATTTTATTGATATTAGAGAAAGAGAGAGTAAAGGATAAGGACAGAAAAACAGAACATAAATGATGAGAATCAGTGATTAGCTGCCTTCTGCACACCCCCACTGGGGATCAAACTGGCAACCCAGGCATATGCTTTGACCAGGAAATTAAACAGGTGACCTCCTGGTTCATGGGTCAATGCTCAACCTCTGAGACATATCAGTACAGCATGGTTAAAACAGTTTTAAATTAGAAATCAATAACAAAATACTCCAATAGAATTTTCTGCAATGATGAAATGTTCTATATCTGTAAAGCACAATGGCAGTCACTATCCAAGTGTAAATAATGAGCACTTGAAATTATGGCTAAAGTGACTTAACAGATGAATATTTATTTTAATTTATTTAAATTTAAATGTCAGACACCACTGTATTGGGTACCACAAATCTAGAAAATCTCCAAATATACATCACACACAAAATGATTTCAGGTGGATCATCCAAATTGAAAAGCTGAAACTATAAACCTTCTAGAATAAAACATAAGAGACTCTTTTCATGGCATTGGTATGAGTAAAAATGTCATAGAAAGAATAGAGGAAGCAGTAACCATAAAATATGGATAAATTGGACTTCATTAAAATGAAAAATATCTGCATGCAAAAAATACCATTAAGAAAATGAAAACATAATTCCCAGACTGGGAAAAAACATTTGTAAAATAAAATCTGGCAAAGAAGTTGTATCCAGAATATATGAAGAACTCTTACAACTCAAAATAAAAGACAAATGACCCAAATAAAAACTGGGTAAAGGCTTGAACAAACACTTCACAAACAAGATTTATAAATGCCCAATAAGCACAAGAAAAAAAGTGTTCAACATCAATATGTATCAAGGAAATGCAAATTTAAACAGCAATTAGGTATCACTACAAACCAGCCAGAATCAGAGGGGAGGGGGTTGCAGGGTTGGGTGATTAAGTAAAAACAAAAACACAGTAAGCAAAATGAAAAACTTCATAGACACAGACAACAATATGGCGATTGCCATAGGGAAAGGGGATTGTGAGGTAGAATAAGGTAAAGAAGGATAAGTGGTAATGGACTGAGATTTGACTTATGGTGGTGAACATATAGACGATGTATTATACAATTGTACATCTAAAACCTGTATGATTTTATTAACCTATGTAACTCCAATAAATTCAATAAAAAGGAAAAATTTAATAGCAGTAATCATTGGCATTGATTTATAAGCAACAGGAATTTTTCTACATGGGCAGTAGGGATATAAAATGGTACCATTAGTTGAGAAAACTGAGAAACCTGTAAACTGCTAAACATGCATCTACATATTACCCAGCCACTTCACTCTAGGTATTGATCCATGGAAAATGGAAATTTATGCCTGCAAAAAGCCTCTTGTAGAGGCTTCATAGCTTTATTCATATTAACCACACACTGGAAACAACCCAGGTATCCATCAGCAGGAGACTAGACAAGCAAGCTATGGTATGTTCATGCAATGGAATATTACTCAGCAATTAAAAGTAATAAACTATTGAGGTATACAACAAGATGAATGAATCTGAAAAAATGTTACATTTAATAAAAGGAGCCAGACACAAAAAAGAGTATATACTGTATTATCCATTTATATGAGTGTCTAAAATGGGCCAGTCTTTCTATAGAAATAGATATCAGTGAAAGTGGCTGTTGTGGTGTCCAGGCATTGACAGAGAGCAGGCACCAAGGAACTCTGCAGGGTGATAAACATGTTCTATGTTTTGATGGGGGTGAGGTGAGGTAATGTATTCATGTGTCAGAAATGATCAAAAGAGTACCCTTAAAATCTGTGTGTTTTGCTGGATGCAAATTAACCCTCAATGAACATGTCCAATAAATAATGAAGCTATTTCAGAAAAGCAGGCTTATGTTTCTCTGTTAAAAATTAAAATGCTTCAATATTTATAGCTTCTATGATATATGTATTTTCTGTTTTTCGCAGTATTTTATAGATACGAATTTTTCACCAAGTCTTATCTAAATGCTCCAAAATAACCTGCTATTTGTTTCAGTGTACCATGCCAATGTTCCCCTTGTCCACGTGTGCCACGTATGAAGTGTTGGGAAGCTCTGCTTTGCCTGGAATTGCAGGGAGGCAGGTGAGGAGAGAGGCATGTTTGGGAGGCAGGATGCACAGAAATGTGACTGGCTGTCTATCTCCCAGAGTTGCTGTAAGGATGAAAATGAAACTGAGTCTATGGAAGTCCAATGAGATCATGCAGCTCCTGGTCTTGGCACAATAAATATTATGTCTTCTCCCCTCTTGGGCCCTATCATTTTGGGGAGGTGTGGATTTTGTCTCTCTATATGAAGACCCACAGGTGACACTTGGGAAAATGCTTTTTTTCCATACCTCTATTTTCTACAAAGAAGGTTGTAATAGTCAAAGGATCCAGTTTAGGCTGCTCTTCAGCAATGAGCTCATTTATAAGAAAGAATATTCTGAGTGTGCGTATTTATTTATGGCTTTAAACTCTATGCAGATGAGGAATTCAGAATTCATTAATTGATCTTTGCATGATCATGTGAGTGTGAAAATGACAGTGTTTATAGAAAACTAAATTTTTTTTTTTTCATAATTAAGACAAGAGTTAAGGGCTTTTCAGAAATAGAAAAAGACTTTCTGGACACCATCACTGGCCAAGCAGGCACCAGTTTCAGAAAACCAGGTGCTTCTCTGCCTGCCCAGGAGCATGAGGAGACTGGCCATTTGGGCACCAGCGCAAGCAGTGCCTACCCACCCTGGTGTGACTCAGGCAGCACAAAAGGCACACTTGAGAGAAAACATCACACTTAGCAGCCTGCTGCAAAAACATGGAACACCCACCACTTTATCCCCACTCAAAGGCCTTCTGGAATTATCTCTATTTTAACTAGTTAAAGTCATTTTTCTTAGCAAAGTCTAATGTCTCAGCTAGTTCAGGATTTGGTAGGCCTGGTTACCATGACTCCTAAGGAAGGCAAGAGACAGATTTTGCTTTTTTACTTTGAAGTTGACATTTCAGCCATCTATCCATGGTCCCAGGCAAAGCTCACATCTCTCCCAACCATAGCTTTCGTTTGCCCAATAGTGGTTTTACAAAATGGAAAATGGGGATTTGGAAGCAATTTCCTCACAGAACATTATTATGGACATTAAGACTACTTATCTGTACTTTCCCAACATGTTTATATTTACCTGCAATTATTCAAGACTTTATTACAGAATTCTCTGGAATTCTGGAGAACACACTGGACTTTGGAGTGACCATTTATTGAGTTCCAGGAACTTCAATTACATATATTTCTCTAATGATTACATATAATATAGTTATCACTTTCCCATCTTTACAATGAGGAAACCAAGACTCAGAGAAGTTAAATAATAATGAAAACAACAATAAAGAAAGCATTA